CATGTTGGTCAGGCTGGTCTTGAACTCCCGACCTCAGGTGATCCGCCTGCCTTGGCCTCCAAAGTGCTTGGATTACAGGCGTGAGCCACCACACCGGGCCCTGAGTTAGGCATCTTGCAGGGTTTTGTTTGTTTTTTTGAGGCAGGATCTCAGCTCTGTCACCCAGGCTGGAGGGCAGTGAAGCAATCATGTCTCATTGCAGCCTGGAACTCCTGGCCTCAAGTAATCCTCCTGCCTAGACTCCCAAGTGGCTGGGACCACAGGCACATGCCACCATGCCCAACTAGTTTTTTTATTTGTTTGTAGAGACAGGATCTCAGTATGTTGCCCAGGCTGGTCTTGAACTCCTGGGCTCAAGCAATACTCTTGCCTCAGCTTCCCAACGTGCTGGTATTACAGGCATGAGCCACCTCTTTCTGCCTCTTACAGGTTCTTAAGCTTGAGAACCTTCTAGAGATTAGGGTTCTCACATTTTGGGCGTCTACTGAATTGAGGGAGTCATGCCAAATTTGGGGATCCTACTGAATTTGGGGTTTTTCAGTTTGGAGGTTTGCTAAAGTTTGGGGGCTTTTATGGACTCGGAAGCAAAGCGCTTCCCTTACGTTTGAGCACTCTACTGACTTTGGGCAACTCTCTTGAGTTTGGGGGGGGTCTACTGAGTTTGGAGGGAAGACAATCCAAGTTTGGAAAGTCTATTGAATGTGGGGTTCTACTCAGTTCAGAAGGCTTTTCAGCTTGGATGGTTTTTTTTTTTTTTTTGCTTATCTTTTTAGACAGAGTCTGGGTATGTTGCCCAGGCTGGAGTGCAGTGGTGAGATCTCGGCTTACTGCAACCTCTGCCTCCTGGATTCAAGTGAGCACCTAAGATACAGAGGTTTTTTTGTTTGCTTGTCTGTCTGTCTGTTTGTTTCTGAGACAGAGTCTCACTCTATTTCCCAGGCCAGAGTGCAATGGCGAGGTCTCGGCTCACTGCAACCTTCGCCCCCCAGGTTCATGTAATTCTCCTGCCTCAGCCTCCCGAACAGCTGGGATTACAGGCATCCACCACCACACCTGGCTAATTTTTTGTATTTTTGGTAGAGATGGGGTCTCACCGTGTTGGCCAGGCTTGTCTCAAACTCCAGACCTCAGGTGATCCACCTACCTCGGCCTCCCAAAGTGCTGGGATCACAGGCATGAGCCACTGTGCCCAGCCATTTTTTTTATTTTTAATAGAGACCGGGTTTCACCATGCTGGCCAGGCAGGTCTCAAACTCCTGATCTCAAGTGATCTGCCAGCCTCTGCCTCCCAAAGTGTTGGGATTACAGGCATGAGACACCATGCCTAGCCCCTGGAAGCTTTTTAAAGTTTAGAAGTGTTTTACGTTCACAGATGACTTCAAATGTTGGGTTCTATAGAAGTTGGGGGTTTCACAGAGTTTGGGGGCATCAGGAGTGAAGGGCACTTGGATAGAGTGACTTTGACCTTTGGGGAGTTGAGAGTGAGTCCCTGGAAAAACATGAGCAACAGGACCCAAGGTCAGGGACAGCCCCCTCTCTACCCCAGGGGTTCCCCCCACCAATCCCACTTGCTGCTCCTCACTCACCCAGGAATGTTGTGGAAATGTACTCTGAGACCTGGTTTCCTGACCTGCTCATTTCTGACAGGTGTGTGAGTTCACGGTTCAACATCCTCTTGAACTAAGGTGAAGGAATCAACAAGGAAGAAATGATGGGGGAAACACAGTGGTGGGGAGGGTGTCAGTCTTTCCTGAGAATGCCTGAAGACCCCATGAGTCCCTCCTATTTTTCTGCTCAGCCAACAGAGCCCCTATGAGGCTACTAGGGGGGTGGGGTCAGCCCTTCCTCTCCTCCCAGCTCTAGATGGAGGTCCCCAGGTTTGGGGAGTCATGATCAGCACAACCCTTCCTGCCTGAGGAAAGAGGGGCTCCCCTCCCCATTCCCCTCAAGGAGGAGCCAGAGGGGCACCTGTGGAAGGGAGGGGCTCCTGCCTTAACAGGGAGCCAATGGGGAAGCAGGAGAATCCCGTAGCCATGGCGATGGGAGTCTCCTTAGCAACTCCCCCTCCAACCAGCTGCTGAGCTGGGGAAAAGGGGGGCAAGCGAAGGCCCCTTAACCCCTGCCTTCCCAGAGCTGCTCCTGATGCGAGTCTTCCCAGACACGGACCCCATTCCTGGGGGTCCTGGGTCCTGGCCCCCAGCTCAGTTTGGGAAAAGGGAACGCGGTACCCAAACTCTGGGGGACAAAAAGCTTTGGCCAGGGCAGGGGAGAATGGTGAGCTGAGGAAATCCCAGTTTGATCATTCAGGGGAGGGGGAGGGGTGTTCCCATCATAGCCCCCTCTCCCCCAGCCCTAGAGAGGTAGACAGATGCACAGATGAACGGAATATACCCAAAACCTGGCTTGGACGCCCCTCCTGGTCCCCCCATGTCACTCTGCACAGGCCTTTGCTGTGACATTGTACACAGAGGAGAAAGGGCATTGGCGCCCCACCCCCAAGCTCTGCCACAACACCCCAAAAGCAGGAGCAGACTCTGTCCAGGGGGGCACGAGGGGCACTTGGCAGGAGGGGTGAGCCTGCATGGCTTATGCTGGGACAGGGCACTCCCTCCTCCTGGTGCCACCCAGAGACCCTGAGTACAGAGACACACATCCACACAAGATGGACCCACAAAATCTCACACAACCACACACACACAGTCATAGGCTCTCAGTCCTACACAGCGTCACACAGCCCAGACACACAGATCAAAGGGTATGCAAAATAAGGTAGTCACTGACATTTGGGGTCACGTGTCCCCAAAATATCAGGCAGCTCTGGGCTCAGACACACAGCCCAACACACAACACCATGGTCAGAGCCAGATGATCTCAGACAGGGCCACACCGTGACCCAGGCAAACAAGCCTACAGTCAGGCAGACACACACACACACATCCAGGCACTGACACAGTCACACCCAGTGAGGGACCCACAGTCCCCCCCAGGGAGAGTCACACACCCCCAGTCACCCGCCATCCACGCCCAACCCTGGCCACATACAGAGACTGTCACAAGGCTTCATCTCCAGGCCACACACGTGCACAGCAACACACACAAGCCCACACCAGGGGCCCAGCTGGCCGGGATGCCTGCCCACCCACTACCCTGCACCCTCCTACCTGGTCCCACCAGCCCACCAGCCACGGCTTGGAGCAGGTCTCGCAGAAGAAATCCACCAAGGGCATCTTGGAGACTTAGCCCGCCTGGGGCTGCTGCACACAGAGGCTGGGCTTGGGGAGTCCCAGGGTTGACGACCACCCGGGAGGGGGTGCCGGGCAGGTGGGTAGTGGAAGGGGGAGCCGCGGAGGGGCCTGGGCCGGCCCAGCAGGGCTGGGGGCTCCCTTCCCCTCCGCGCTCCCGGCGGCAGCCCTGGTTACATGGTCCGCCAGCCCTGGGCCCCAGTGGGCCCCCACACAGCGGTGGGTGGAGGCGGTGGAGGGTCCGTGCCCATGGGAGGGAGGAGGGCAAGGGTCCCAGGAGGAGGCTGCAGAGCTCCTTGTGTGCACCCGTGTGCGTGCGTGTGTGCTCACTGCAGCACTGGCAGACTGCATGGGATGTCAGGTGGTGCTGGGGGTGGGGGGGCGTTAAAGGGGCATCAGAGCCCCACGGGCCTCAGCCAGACCCAGGTGGGCTGTCCCTGTGAGGACCTGTCCCTTCCATGGACAAACCCAGAGACAGAAACACACACCCACTGTACACTCACAGATGTACAAACACCCTGAGACACACCTTCCAGGGACACCCACACACATCCAGGCACTTGACACTCGAATACACACAGATACCCAAATGCCCGAGGTAGTGACAACTCAGATGTCCAACACATTTATAGGTCCACAGCTGAGCATATAGCAGATGCCTCCAGACACGCCCCATCCAAGGGCACAGGCCCACACCTAGGGACAGACACTGATGCAAGCCACGCTTACAGACACACAGTAGGCACACCCACAGACACAGTTTTCAACCATTACGAATATCCATTGACCTTGGACACAAACATACCCTGACAAATCCATAAGGATATACACTCACAGATGCAAAAATTCACACACGCACACACATACTCACACACCACTCACTCACGAAGAAACACCCTCAGACCCATACCCAGAGACACAGCCACATTTCAGATGCTTGACCCACCCTCAGAGACACAATCACCCTTGGACTGGTATGTTCCCACACAAGCCTCCACCCACCAATTAAGCACCCCCCCAACAAAGACACTCCCACCTCCAGATCATGTCTTGATACGCACCCACCCACAAGGGCTGCTACCACTCTCTCCAACTCCAGGAAGCATCACTCACACATACTGCCTGTTTTCTGAATGGTGTCCTCTGGGGTTGTGGAGTGCACAGTCTGCACAACAGTACACGGGGGCCTTGCACTCACCCCTGCAGCCCTGCAAACACACCCACATTCACAAACACACAGAGCTACACACTCAGATTCCCATCTGGTCCAACTCTCCCCTGCAGACATGCGCACCCCTCTGGTATAGCCCCACATACCTATAGCCCTGAATAATCACCCGTGCACACCCATACACCCTCCACAGGTACACACTGGCATGCCACTCCTTAGAGTCCACTCCCAAAACACCAGCGCTGCAGATGCATAGCCAATAGACCAGCAGCTACACAGACCCACAGCCACAGTTACACCCCCACAGACCATAAAAGCATAAAACTCCCAACGGAATCGGTCACCTACTGACATCTGTATGACCCGGCGGACACGCCCCCCAACACACACTAGGCTCCTCCAGCCCTGGGGAAAGTCTGAATCTGCCGGAGCTTCAAGCAGTTGAAGCTGCCGCCCAAGGATTGGCCCCACCCAGGGACTGACCTCACCCAGGGACTGACCCCATCCCATAGCCCCTACCCAGAGATTGGCCCCGCCCTCATGAGCCATGCCCAATAGTTGGCCTCGCCTACAGGCCCAACCTGGTGGTTGGCTCCACCCATAAGGCCCCATCCCCACCAGCCCCACCCAGAGATTGGCCCTGCCCTAATCGGCCACGCCCAGTAGCTATCTCTGCCCACAGGTCCAGCCTAGTGGCTGGCTCCATCCACAGGCCGTGCCCACTGGTCCCATCCAGTGATTGGCTCTACCCACTGGCTCCGCCCCCACCGGCTCCACCCAGGGGTTCTGCCCACCACCTGCGCACCTTGTGCGAGGCCATCTCGCTGACAGAGCGATAGGTCTGCATGGTCTCCAGCTGCTCCAGACACCAGTCCAGCTCCTCCAGAGTCTCCCGGGCCAACTGTTGACACGTTTCTTCTAAGGAAGGAGCAGCCAGGATGGTGACTAAGAAGGTCTATAGGCAGAAGCCCAGAGGCCCCAGCCCTCGGTGACAGGGTTCACCAGATGAATGGACTGCTGGGTGGGGAAGGGGCTGAGGGACCCCCACTGGGGCAGCAAGAGGGGACCCTTCCCACCCCTCTGGGCTTAGCTACCTGACAGCGTGGCCTTGCAGACAGGGGTGGGGCCGCCCAGCGGGGACCGCCTGCAAAAAAAATGGGGCTGCAACGTTAGCCTGGGTCCCCCCACCAGGTCCCACCCTTCCCCTTTCCATGAACAGTGCCAATTTTCATTTTTCTGTTTTTTTGTTTTCGTTTTTGCTTTTGTTTTTGAGACAGAGTTTCGCTGTTGTTGCCCAGGCTGGAGTGCAATAGCGTGATCTTGGCTCACTGCAACCTCTGCCTCCTGGGTTCAAGCAATTCTCCTGTCTCAGCCTCCCACGTAGCTGGGATTACAGGCATGCCCCATCACACTTGGATAACTTTGTATTTTTAGTAGAGATGGGATTTCTCCATGTTGGGCAGGCTGGTCTCGAACTCCCGACCTCAGGCGATCTGCCCATCTCAGCCTCCCTGTAATGCTGGGATTACAGGCATGAGCCACTGCGCCCAGCCAATTATCATTTTTCTGAATGCTCACTCTGTCTTAGAGATGCTGCCATGTACTCTGCCTGCAGCCTCAACGAGCCCCAGAAAAATCCGTTACAGATGTGGAAAGTGAGGCTCAAGGAGATGAAACAGCTTCTTCAAGACCACATGGCTGATCTGCCTTAAGGTCAGGTCCTGGGTTTCCAAGGTCTCAGCTTTCCTGACTAACTCCCTGCAAATCCTCCAAGCCCCAGGGATGTCTATGTCCCCCACCCTCAGAAGGACTGGCAGCTCTCAGCCACACCTCTTGCCCTAAAACAAAATAAGAACCACTCCTGTGTATTGAGCACTTACTATATGCAGGACAATATTCTGGCACATTCTGGACATCGTCTCTCCTCACAGCAGTTATCTAAGGAGGCATTACTGTCATCCCCACTTTATTATTCCGTTTATTTTTTGAGCCAGGGTCTTGCTCTGTCACCCAGGCTGGAGTGCAGTGGTGGAAACACAGCTCACTGCAGCCTTAACCTCCTAGGCTCAAATGATCCTTCTGCCTCAGCCTCCTGTGTAAATGGGAACCACAGGCACATGCCACCATGCTGGGCTAATTTTTTTCTTTTTTTTTTTTTTTTTTTTTTTTTTTTGTAGAGACAGGGTCTCACTTTGTTTCCCTCAAGCTGGTCTTGAACTCCTGGATTCAAGTGATCCTCCTGCCTTGGTCTCCCAATGTGCTGGGATTACAGGCATGAGCCAGCATGCTTGCCTGTGACCATCACTTTACAGAGGGGCAATAGAAACCCCATGGAATGCCATCTGCCCAGCAACTGGGTGTCAAGGCCCAGGGTGGCCCTGGGGACTGTGGCTGTGGCCTTATCACATGCATCCAGACCCCCAAATATTTATAAAAGCCTCTGGGCAGGGCACAGTGGCTTGCACCTGGAATCCCAGCATTTTGGGAGGCCAAGGAGGGTGGATCACCTGAGGTCAGGAGTTCGAGACCAGCCTGGCCAACATGGTGAAACCCTACCTCTTCTAAAAATAGAAAAATTAGCCAGGTATGGCAGTGCATGCCTGTAAGCCTAGCCACCCAGGAGGCTGAGGCAGGAGGATCACTTGAACCCAGGAGGCAGAGGTTGCAGGGAGCCGAGATCGTGGCACTGCACTGCAGCCTGGGTGACAGAGTAAGACCCCATCTCAAGAAAAAACAAAAACAAAAAAACAAAACCGTGTGTCTTAGGAGCTTGAGCTGCAATGGTTCTCTGGCTCTCTGGGAGCTATTGTCTGAACAGAGGTTCAGAGAGGTCACCTGCCTGCCCGAGGTCACACAGCAGGGCTGAGAGCAAAACCTGGGAAAGCATCGCCTTATGATCACAGCTGTTGCAGCTCAGCCTTCACTTACTTGTTACTGGGAACGGGCACATTGGTCAGGAGTGAGAAGTTGCTGCGGACGCTCCGGAGGCTGGCCAGCACCTGGGATGGGAAGTGGCAGTGAGGAGGGGGTCCCCCCAGACCGGCAGCAGGGCTGGGCCCTTCCCCCAAGTGTGGTGGAATGTTGGAGCCTGTTTTCTCCGTAACCATTTGGGGAGGGCATCTCACCTGAGCAAATGGTGTTACGATGAGGTCTTCAGCGTGCCTGTGATTGAGGACAGAGGCAGGTCAGGGGTCTGCAGAAAAGCAACTCTCTGGGGTGGACGATCTGTGAGGCTGGACCCAGGGAGGCTGAGAGGGAGGGAGGGGGCTTTGTGGGGCCCAGGGAGAGGACATTATACTGCATAAGGATGGACGTGTGTCCAGGGCTGATCATGGAAGCAATGGCAGTCAAAGAGTGTGGCTCAGGTGGGTCGGGGGAGAAGAGAGAAAGTGGTGAAAGGGAGAGAGACGAGAGGTGAATATGGTTTTTTTTCTTTGTTTGTTTTGTTTTTTTTAGACAGAGTCTTGCTCTGTCACCCAGGCTGGAGTGTGGTGGTGTGATCTCGGCTCACTGCAACCTCTGCCTCCCTGGTTCAAGCAATTCTCCTGCCTCAACCTCCCAAGAGGCTGGGATTACAGGCATGTGCCATCTCGCACCACTAAGTTTTATATTTATTTATTTTTTACCTCCCCGCCCCCTCCAAATTTTTGTATTTTTAGTAGAGATAGGGTTTCACCATCTTAGCCAGGCTAATCTCAAACTCCTGGCCTGGAACAACACCGACCTTGGCCTCCCAAAGTGCTGAGATTACAGGTGTGAGCCACTGTACCCAGCCCCCACTATTTTAATATATTTTTTTATAAAAGAACTGAGGCCGGGCACGGTGGCTCACACCTGTAATCCCAGCAGTTTGGGAGGCCAAGGTGAGCAGATCACCTGAGGTCAGGAATTCGAGACCAGCCTGGCCAACCTGGCCAAACCCCATCTCTACTAAAAATACAAGATTAGCCAGTGTGGGTGGCGGGCGCCTATAGTCCCAGCTACTTGGGAGACTGAGGCAGGAGAATCGCTTGAACCCAGGAGGCGGAGGTTTCAGTGAGCTGAGATCGTGCCACTATACTCCAGCCTGGGTGA